AAACCGCCGGACATTAGTCCTGCTTACAGCCTGCCATTCATCTGACAATGTTCAGTGCTGTTTTCTGCAAAATATATCAGCATATAATGTGGCATTTAACTCTAGGACACGACCAAATGCCAGCTGATTCATTGCGCCAGTCGTCATATACGTCGACAGGCGAGAAGCGACATTTTTCACAATTTGCACGCTACATTGCTGCTTTTAGGGGAAATATGAACGCCAGCTGTAGGTACTGTGCCATATTGCATATTATAACTTCGTACGGCTGGCTGAGACGCTACATTTGTCGTCAAAGGTGTGTTGATTATGTACATTCCTGCGTTTTAATTTTAACTGCGTTTTATAACGGTGTTTTCTTGTGAAAAAAAAAAATCCGAATAAATAGTTTGCGACTCCAAAGAACCATGGTAGGCACGATAAAAGACTTTCGCTGAGAATGTCAGTTTAAAACATGGTAATGTCCTCCAGACCGATCGATGCTAAAAGAATATTTACGATATCATCCAGGTCCCGAAAGATTTCAACAGTCCTAACCACATTTAAAAAATATGAGAATTGAGGGCAAATGATGTTTTGCAACACATCAAGCACAATATAGCCTTCTTCATCCAAACTTGGCTCGGCTTAGAACATTGCAATTATTCCCAAAATATTGTAGCATGCAATATTTTAAGCGTGGCTGCACATGGAAAATAATCCACAGATCACGCACTAGGTGTCCAGTCAAGGTTCCTTTTTAAGTCGGTACTTACATAATCCATCATTCACCTAATGGTGTTACACGCGTAAATACTTTTGCGTGCCGAGTGCGGCTAATCGTGTCACGTATATATCAACGTCCTCTATAATCTCCCAAGCTGCACAGAAAACGATTGTTCATTTGAAGTTGTGCCTTGCATAGTTACGTATTTAGCCATGCACTGGGGATTAAGGCCGTCACCAACCCATTTAGCAGGTCAATCCAATCCGATCCAAGATCAAATATAGGCAGGATTCTGCTTGTCAGGACACTCCCCTTTGTTTATACATATCCGTTGGTACAGACAGTGGAATGTGCGACTTCGCTGAAGAGTTGTTGGAGCCGTTTAATGATTAATTCAGCGACAGCTGGACATGAGTCACAAAACGGCCGGCCCATTGATGACATTCGTGCCAGCGAAATGATTCGTTACGAAAACTAACTATGCGGTATGCAGCATGTGCTTTTAGGCTAAACAATAAATATGAAAAATTTATTACACACTTTATTAAAAATGTTCTTGGACTCCAAACATCTACGTGTAAATAAAGCTGTTTTTGGAAAATTGATAACATTTGTTCAAAGGATGAGAAACTCCGAGGATTTGCCATAAACCTTAGACAATACTATAATTACTTATTCATTACCTTTTATTCCTATTCTGTTATCTATTTCTTGCATTGAATAATCAAACAAATATCTGTTTATCATGAGTTTTGGCTTTATGAAGGAACCGTCTCAATATATCAAAACGCATGTGTTTGGGCTCTTTGTCAGTGATAACTTAGGTACAGGCTGAACGCCGTCTCGGAACTCCGTATTTTTAGCATTGAGCTAAACTATTGCATAATTTTTGCAGCATTATTGCAGTAGTCGGCGTGAGATGCCTTCATTTAACGCATCTGGCCTTGTGCAACTATGTAAATTATCTATTGATAGATATTGCTCACGTGTCTCAGGACTGATGTGTCTTCACTCTTCCTCCCTTACTTGCGTCGACTGGCTTGCATATTGTGATTTGAAAGCTATGTTTTTTTTTAATTAAGTTTCGTATTTGTATGTATGAAACACCGGACCGCAAGCCACTACAGCTTGGATTGATCCTCCCCCGTTTTGACTAGCGTGGTGGTCTTTTTTCGACCACATCACCGTTGAGATGCAGGTGGCACCGATATCACGCCTCTTGTGGCCACCGTAAATTATACCTTATCACAAACCTAAGCCCAAGTAACGGCATTCACAACCACGCTCTCAAAGCCGGGGTACTTTGGGTGTAATCTGGCAAATATTGACTGGAGCGGTCCCTCCGAAATTTACTTAGGCCTACGTACGAGTAGCTGATCAGTGATCAAATAGCATACCTCGACTGGCCTGTGAGTGAAGTTTGTGCAGTGTGCGCCGCGCGTCTCAATCAGAACCGATACTCGGCGTGGCTCGGTCCTGGTAAACGCGATAGTTCTCTGCTTTCCACGACCAGCCGATTATTGTGACGTGGCTGAGGCCGAGAATGCTTGAACGACGCCAGAACAGATGCATTTTAGCATCACATTATGCGGATTTGTGAGCATGAGTCAATGCGTGTGTGAACGTAAGCCACTCCTATGACCTATCACGTACAGACTAGAGGGCGCAAATTGCGATCGCTGCATTTTTTTTTTTGCACTAGCTCTTAGAGTGCGAAACTATAGATATATCACATAGGTAAGCACACTTAATGAAGACGCATTGCATTAGAAACCAGATTGACCGCCCTTGATTTTATCATCCACTTTACTGCATTCGTTCTCCGAGATTTACTCTGAATCAGATGGTATGAATCTTTTTGGGTAAATGGGCGCCATCACTTGCGTGTCACACCAGGCAGCGCTCTTTTCCGGTGGGGAAGACACTGCCCCCGAAGCTTTGCGCCGCTCCTCTCGATTCCAGGAGACTCGATAAATACATGCACTGTTTCCTTCCCTATCAGCTCCCGCAGTTTCCTCTGGTACCCTGCCGCTCTAGTTCCCAGACCTGGGGCCGCCGACCCCTGCAGATCCCGGTGTCCCGGTGGCCGGTCGACGCAGGCACGCGGCCTTGCCAGCCGATCGATATCACTGCTCCACCACCGGGCCCATCGGCACGCGCGTGGGAACCGGCCTTTAAAGCGCTCAATGGCGCCGACACGGGCGCACGTGCCGCTCGCATTCCGGAGCATTGAAGCACCGGGCGCAGCACCTGACCCGGTGGAACGCCGCGGGCCGGGCCAGGGGAGCCGGCGCCCCGGGCGTCCCGGCGCCCCGGGCGGCAGCCGGCCCGCGGGGCGCGCGGCGGCGGCCCGCATTCCGACGCAGGGGACCACACCTGTCGGAATGCGGTCCGGCCGACGCCGTGGGCGCGTCGGAATGCACGCGACAGACGGCCGTCGGTGCTCTGGAATTCACGCGTGCAAACGTCGGCGTCGGCGTCGGTGTCGAAACGGACAGCGGCAGCTGTGGAGGTGCGGTACGGTGAACGCGGATGGCCAGCGCAGGCACCGGTGTCAATATGAGCACCATGAGGCGTGCCCCAAGGCTGCGCGGCCCAAAACTGTGTCAGACGGCTGGTGGGCGGCCTGATGGAGCCCGAGGCGGCGGTAAAAAGTGTCTTACTCTCCAGCTGCCACGCACGAGTCGTGAGGCACCTCCTCTTGCTCGAGTTATGTAAATTACCGGACGCTACACAATGGAGCGCGCAGCCAGGTATGCGGCGACTAGCCAGAGCGGTGGGCGGAGAAAGGTAGAAAATTGGGAGATCGGATAAGGCAGGCGTTGGGCGCTGCGCGAGCCAGGTCCACAGGGTATTTCCTGTCGTGTGAGATCGACTTTTATGGCGTGAAATTGGGTCGATTTACGACTGATACACATGTAAGCGGGCCGTTACTTGAGTGGTCATAATTAGAAGGGACAGCGAATAGTTGGTCAGCCGCACAATGCGTCGGATGACTCGGACCGAACTAGATCGCAACACGAAAGGGCAATCGAAACGGCCGTTTGACAAATTGCGTTTGGACGTTTGGTATTCGCCGCGGCTGCTTGTGGCTCCATTGTACTGTCAGGTGGAATAAAGCACCGCAAAACATCGCGGCAAATTACTGTGAACGAGATTCATGAGCTTTTTTACAGACGGTGATGTGAAGTCAAACTTTTTGTGCACGTATGGGATGTGTCATACAGACTTAGCGGGTGCTCGTATGGTAAGGTATGGTATTCTATAATGTAAATGACTGATTCAAGGTGAAACCGCAAAATTGTGACATTTGGTTCTCCCGTTCTCTGAAAAAGCGTGCGACTTATATGTGATATTCAGTGTTAAAAAGGAAGAGCAACACGACTAACCTAGCCTGCATTTCGGTGAATGCTTACATCATTTGCTCAGTGCTTTCAGTGGCCCATTCAGTGTTGTCATTCCAAGCCAAATTGATGGACGGTATTGGTGGCCGCTTAGCATAATCTGCAAGAGACAAGATAGCAGCATAATGGTTAGCGACGAGCGGCAAACGCCATACATCGAGACATGAACGGCTATCTATTATTCAGCTAGCCCGACCCTGCATCCGATCAGCGAAATCATTTGTCATTTGTCAAATACCGCCGTGTCCCCACACTGTCCAATGATATGCTTACTTTCTTCAAGAACGATGATATGTGATGTAAGTTGTAGGCCGTGCTGTCCGATTATTATGTTCGGTAGTGCAAAAACGTCATTGGCTTATTTTGAGCGTGAAAGCTTGCAATTCAATGGAAAAATAAACGTACAAAGCGAAAAAAGTTAGCAGGCAGTGGGCACTCAGTGACCATTTGCCAGCACCCAGACACGTGTTTTGCCAAATTACTGCAATTCTGAGTTCCTTGCATTTGAGACGGCCCATCGTAGGTATATTGGCATCGTAGGCGTTTGAGATGGCCCACTGTGTCCGTGTCCTACAGAAGCCCGTGGTCAGAATTTATTAAAAATACGTGGGACCTGCCGATTGCCGAACTCAATATGATTGTTATTTAGAGATAGTCTTGCCGGCATAGGATTCATGGATATTTCTATTCTTATTTTATTTTCACTGCGCTGCCATGCGCGGATGCCACATGGCCGAGGTCAATGAGGAATCTTTCCTCCATAGCTAAGATGGCTCCACGCAAACACCACACATGGCCCCGCTAATCCAGCGCCTGTCCTTGTGCTGTCTGTCAGTGGTGCCGCTGTCTTCAGCAGCGACCCTGCGCCCTCATCTCCCCCCTCCCGGCAGCCCGCGTCAGCAGTCATCGGAGCCGGCCGAGCGCGCGGCCGGCGCTTTTTCCCGCCGTCTTCGGGACAGCGCCGCGCCGCGTCCCTCCGTCTTCAGTCTCCGTCTCGGGCCGGCCGCCCGCTGCGCGAGCACTGCACGTGCGCCCTCCCCCTCCCCTCACCCCGCCCCACTATACGGCGCCCCCACTACGCGCGGCCGGCGGCGGCGGCGGCGGCATCTGGGCGCCAGGTGCGTCGCGCCTCGCGCGCTGTGGGAATGTCTGCGTTCCCACGCCGCGGCGGCCGCCCCCCGCGCGCCGGGCGCCGCGCGCACCTGGCGGCCGCTGTTTAAAACCGGCCGCCGCCGCTGCGGTCGGCATTACGGTCTGAGCCGGCGAGCAGTGAGGAGCTCCAGAGAGAGAGGCGATTTCAGTGAGCGAGACACGTGTTGACGAGCGGTGAAACGAACAGAGTCGAGATGGCACCCTGCCAAGTGATCCCTTCGGAGTCGGCGAGCCCCAGCGATTACAAAAAGGTGAGCATCGGCTTCAGTTTTTATTACAGCATCTTAAAATCAACTTATTACGATTTGTACTTTAAAAATCTTCTGAGTTCAGTGCATTGTAGTTCTCCTTTTACGTTTCAACGTTTATATTTTCAACATTAGTCACATGGAATTGTTCTCGCCCATTGCCTGCTGTCACTGTTAGCACATTGGACAAGGTCTTGACGGCCTCTCTCCGCTGTTCCTCAGGTTCTGAAACCTCTGCTGGAGCGTCGGCGTCGGGCGCGCATCAACCGCTGCCTGGACCAGATGCGCGACCTGATGGTGGACGCGCTGTCCATGGAGGGCGACAGCGCCGCCAAGCTGGAGAAGGCCGACGTCCTGGAGCTGGCTGTACGTCACCTTCAGAAGCTGCAGGCGCAGCGGCGCGCCGCCGCCCCCGCTGCCCCGGCCGCGCCGGCCGCCAGTCCGCAGACCGAGCTGGATCGGTACCGCGCCGGGTTCTCCGCCGCCGCCACCGTGGTCAGCCGGGCCCTGGCCTTCACCCCTGGCGTGGATGTGGAGCTGGGCACCCGCGTGATGCAGCACCTGGGCAGCTCGTTCCGCGCGCTCGACCAGCGCCGGCTGTCTGCGCCGCTGACGGTGGAGGTGCCCCAGTTCCGCACCCGGGTGCCGGTGACGGCGTGCCCGGCCAGCCCGGCCGACAGCTGCAGCTCGGGCTACTCAAGCGGCGCCGACAGCGGTCTCCTCACCGTGGTGACGCCGGTGTCTGCGGCCCCGCGCGCGCCGGCCTCCTCCCAGTGCAGCCCCAGCCCGCTGAACCTGAAGCTGGGCGACGAGGGCATGTGGCGGCCATGGTGAACGGGCTGTCGCAGCTCGGCGCTGCCGGAGGGCTTTCAGAGACTGCCCGGCCACGGGGGCCGAGACGGGCGTGCTGTGATATTGGGCCGCTGTGATAAGTGTTTGCTTTTTGTGTGCTTTGTTTGTAGTCATGTTGTTTGTGCACAGGTGACGTTCAGTTTCATTCAAGGCTGTACAATACACCTTACGATGTGTGTTATATGATCATGCTTTTTAAGCTCGAGGGTAACTAAAGGGTGCAATAAGAACACGGTCCTTTAACGAATATAACGGTACTCCTGCTGAAGCGTATACAGAGCTGCAAGATCACACACCGATACAACAACTGTTCGAGGGCGTGACCGCAGCAGAAGGCTAACGTAGGCCGATAGGTACAAAAAAAAAATGTTGCACCATGGGAGGAATAATTGTCAATTAACACGCAGCCGACGGACGGGCCACCAGCCCGGAATGGAATAATGCTTATCAAAGTTAAGGAAGGAGTTTATAAACAACACGTGCATTACATCAACACGGCACGGGGGGGGGGGGCAGTCGCATTCAGGACTATCACAGGTTAAATTGAGAGATCCGATTGTGCGCCATTAGATAATTACGCAAAACATTATTCCCGATTCTCTGCTAAAACGCGGTAACGAGATAACGTCGCGTAGTGCGTACCGAAATCAACCATAACTAATAACTATACTGGTTGACAAGACGAGCTCCCTTCCCTAGGCGCATAACCTGAACCAATACCCAGGAAGGACCGTCCGTCGAATACCGGCAACAATCACGGATATTTTCGCTGAAGGAGTACATACCTTACCTTTATGATACTAGCAAGAGACAGCGCGAGAGCGTGAATTATCCGATGCAACTGCAACAGCAAGAGTTGGGCACAAAATGAGCTTTATAGTCGTCGCGCCCTGAATCCACAATAAACAACAGCAAGGCGATGTTACCGTAACATTTAACATTAACATCGAGCCTAACGTGAAGGTACCGCCCTATGGAATTCTGAATTCTAAATACTTGTGAGCTAAAAGGAACTTTTTTTTGCCAGACTAAGAACTTCATGAAATGATGAAATCTGAGGGGTGATTTGAAATCAATAGACCACCCTATTTTAATTGGAGGCTACGTAAACAGTGAAAACAGCTTAACTGCTGAGTGCTGCGCATCGCAATAAAATTTTACAATGATGTATAGGATACGGGTTCGGACTTCCGATATCCGAGTTACAGTGAAATCGCTTTAGGTATTGACTATTGGTGGGGAATAAATGCTTTGCCCACGCCATGGCCCACGCTTATAGAGAGCTTCCAACAATCCGTGAATAAAACCTAAATAGGGCACAGGTTCCTAGTTGCATGGTTTAGGCACCTACGCGTTTCTAGAAACTCGTGATTTTCGACTGTACGCAAAATGCTTATAAATTATAATCAACCATATCAATACCGGTTACATACCTACGTTAATGCGTATGAAACAGAATTGAAATAACAAAATAGTACCTAGGTACTCACATCGAAAAAGAAACAAAACGGAGCGAGTGGCTGGCATAAATCAAGCACAAAGCGAAGGCTGTAGCACAGTTTGAAACACCATAACCGGCCGGTATCGAAAAGCAGCGTTATTTAAAAATGACTGAAATTAGTAAACTCATTCATTAAATGCTCAACCAGCATAGAGGCGGGTAATGAGCTGAATCCCTACACACTCACAAACATTTAGACGGCAGGGCCCAGAGAAAGCCAATAAAGGGCTGAGGGCATAAGTACGCCTGACACGTCACACCTACTAGTGCCTAAATGGGAAAGCTGACGGGTAAATAATAGGTACAGTTCATCATTCAATGGGCGATTAGCGTTGGCAATGCATCGTGATATTCACATAATCCGTGTTCGCTGTAGCTATCGCATCCTCTGTAAGCAAATATCAAAGCAAGATATCCTCACTGATTTTCGCCGAGTGCCCGGATATGTTCTGGTTGCATAACATATGCCGTGCTATGTCACTGCAAATTGTCCATATGTGCTGTCCTGCATGGTGACACCCTCATGAGCAAGGAACATTTATTTTCTCCTATTACGTGGGCCATCACGATAACCGAGCTTTTCCAGCTGAAACTTCCAGGTCATCATATCACATGTGGACCTCGTGCTCCTGACCGGGCCGGAGTCCGCCGCATTGCACCACCAGCTCCTCGCTTTCAGTGGAAATTTCGCGGCCGAATTTCGTTTCCGCGGCGTTTCCTGTGTGCATCTCCTGACCCAGAGGAGACCAGCTGGGCGGAACCGGCAGCTCCGTCCATTTCTGGTGGGCCGCTCCAGTACCGCCTCACGGGTCACGCAACGTCAGCCGGGCAATATGGAGCCCTGAGCCCTGAATGTGGCTCCTCCGGCATGCCTCTGCACTCTGCACCACCATGCAGTGGCTCAGGAGTGTGCAATGTCTTATTTATATAAATGACAGCGGCAGACAAGGATAGCCTAGGGGTTGTAGTCATTAAAACCGGAAATAGATGGATCAGGACTCCAACCGGGTCAGATCCCGGCCGAGACCGGATAGAAGCCGTACTGATGCTTCCCGTCCTTACGGAACCAGCCGGGCCAGTTGTATTCTTTCTTGAAAGGGGGCCAGTTAGATTTAGCAGCTCCAAGCAGTCTCAAAATTCATGTGAAGACTAGAAGACTATGTGAAGACGGCAGAAGTCATGCTCCAAAGCTTGAGATTAGAAGTAGAACAATCATGATTCAACCTTGCTAGATAAAGGCAATTCCTTTCACCATGATGAATAAACGCATTGTTGTATTGGAAGTTCAACGGTGACTGAGCAAGCTCTGACAATTTCTCCCATGATTTCAACCCCTGATTTCATTTCAGTGCTAATTTCGTATGACCACGAACACGTAGCCATTTTTTATGATCACATCCACTAAAATCGTAATTGGGTTGACCGTAAATTTTCTAAAAAGTCGCCTGTCCTCCTCACAAATCACACTATCACTGACAGTGGGCCGGCCTGTCAGTCGCCCGTTGACGGCCTGACGAGCTGCCACATCTGCCAGATCAGTCTCCGCACTGACAGTCTGTCAGGGTTTGACGGCTCACTCGCCTGGCCAGCTGAGCGGTGATACTTTGATGGACTCAGCCGCTCTGAAGTACCGTGCACAGTGTGCAGCAGGATGACAAAAAGAACGCTATCAGCTTTGTTTGAAAATCATATCGCAAGACATACCACTTCAATCAAGCGGTGAGTCTATGTCTATTGGCCACTCGGCGTTGGACAATAGGGAACACCTGCGGCGTCCCCCGGCCAGTTTCCCATTTTTCTCGATAGCGTAATGAATTCGGACACTGTACTGTGGCTTTCGGCAGACCATTGGTATACGGCCTTTTCATTTCTACCTACAGAAATGGGTATTTGATTGCTTGGTTTGTTCACGATCTGCAGCAATGAACAATCCCGTTATTTTTTTTTTTCGCCGTTCGTTGCTCATCTAATCAGCGATCGCGATGTCATACACGGATGGATCCGTTTGCAGAAGAACAAAGTACAGCGGCTGGCAATTTGTTGAGGTGGGCTGTTGAGGATGCCGTGTTTAGTCATTGACAAATAAACAAATGCTGAAAACAAAATTACAGCCAAAACAGCGGCACCTCTGGCGCTACACTCGCCAGCAACCGTACAAAGCTAAACCATCTGCGATCCCAAACTTTAGCCTACCCAACAAAAAAGTCATAAAGCAGCTTGCTGTGTATTTCGAAATTGACGTCAACAATGGCACATCAAGCCGGCGACTGGCGTCTCACTGGCACACCAGTTTGCGCCCATCTGGCATCTGATGATCATAGACTCATCGGACTTGCCAAAACTCGCTACGTGGAATACCATTCAGCGGTAGATATACATTGGAGTAACAAATGTCAACAAAATGCATCGCACTCTGGGCTCGGGACTCTGCAGTACGTGACAAGATGACATGTGACGAAGCTGAATTCTGAAGACATTGACGCGGAGACAAATGTCTGCAGCATAGGAACGATAAACACGCGTATGTACATTATCAGGAAAACTTCGGCGGGGTTCAATATTTGAGCGGCTTCGTTTGATTATCGTTCGCTCTGATTGCAGCTGAAACTGGGAACATTGGCCATCGGAAACATGCAATATATCGGATACAAATCAAGTGTAAAAGGAAAGCCGAGGCACGATTGTCGTGGGAAAGAATCGCTATTCTGTCTTTCTAGTTACATCACAATCTATCAAAAACGTCCACTCAATAACCCGAGGAACATAATGCCCAATGAGGGTAGACGTAAAAATACCAGCATGACGGGACTCAACAAAACATTACCGTAAAGTGGGGCTATTTGAGACAGTGGGGCTATTTGAGACAGTATTTAAAACCGCTATAAAATGACGATCGTTTGATTTTTGTGTGATATTTTTGCACAGGGAGGTGTGGAATCGAGCAGTAAATCGCCTGAGCAAAAAATTAAGCATGAATCTTAAGTGGTTTTTATTTTATAGCAATTTTAAATACTGTCTCAAATAGCCCCACTGTCTCAAATAGCCCCACCTTACGGTATCAAACATTTGAAATACTCATGAAAATAATCCGATAGGCACGCAAAAGGAGCATTAGCATAGCATAGAAACTTGTCTTTTGGGAGAGGCTGTCTTTTTACAGACTAGACTACGTTATCCTATGAACACAGTGTGATACGACTGGGCGTAGGAACGTTAAAGGGAAACGGCACTTACCGGGAATAGAATTACCGGGACGAACACTTCAATAAACTTCCTTAAAACGATGCACACTCGTTCGCAAAGGAATCCAACAACCCAAAACCGCACAGCCTTAGTACACAACTCAAGCTCTACAAAAGCAAATGTTAGCATTAGCATTAGCATTAATCCTACTGGCGCCTATAAATCGAATGGCGCCTAAGCATGCCATTCTTATAACTACCAGCACATCGATATTACAACAACGCTACCATTCGCTTACAAATTACATACAATACCCGCAATGGTTTTAAGTACTTGCGCGTGATTGGCGTAATTATTTGTCTGCCATTATTGATCCGCGCATGCCACATCGCAACTTTTTAGCAAGCATACATCCATATTGGTCCAAACATTGAAAGCACATAGTTGACGAGACAAATGCATGGAGAATCGGAACAAAACATATTGCATTGCATCGGAACTGCTCGAGTTAATATTTACCATGCAGTATATAATATCAAAAGGAAATATGGCAAGTTATTTTCCGCTCTCCCCGGCACGCGGCACAAGGTTGACAGTATGATCAGCACGCCTCGAAACCGTCAGCCGCTGCCCATCGCTCTGCTGGAGCTCAGTGGAAGGGCTCGTAGGTGGAGGGCTTCCTTCCCTCCAGCGCTGTCTCGGGCACCCTCTTCATCTCGGCCAGTGCCGGCCAGTGCTGCCCCTGGCGGCGCAGCGCGCGGCGCAGGTTCGCCAACGCGGCGAGAGATGGCGCGCCGAGCGGCGGCAGCGGCCGCGGCGGCCGGCCCAGCAGCGGCGGCAGACAGGCGTCCGAGCCGATCACCACCAGCCGGCCGCCGGCCAGCGCGCGCAGATGGTGGGTGACGTGCTCCGCCAGCGCGGCCGACTCGGGCGGCACGGCCGGGGCCAGCAGCAGCACCAGCTGCGGGCAGAGCTGGTACGCCAGCGGCAGCAGCAGCTGCGTCAGCAGCGCCACCGCCTCGCCGGACTCCCAGCTGACGTCCGGGGACGGCGACTCGAGCATCAGCGGCGTGCGGATCCGGTCCGCGCCCGCCCACGAGAGCTGAGAGAGGCGCGGAGAGGCACGGTTAGCTGGCGGGCCGCCGAACTACACACAGCACACTAAGGTGATTCGAGACAGAGCCCAAAGAAAGGGCACTGGGTCAGCGAAGGAGTCATCAAAACAAAGAAATAATGGAGGATGACCCAGTTTAGCAGGTTGTATGCATGGAAGAGAGGGCAGCAGCTGCAGCTTCCGCAGCCAGTTGGGGTTGGCAATCACAGGACAAAAGACTCCGCGATTACTCACCAGCGGCTCGACGGTCGGCGACAGCTCGGCGGTGGTCTTCTGGTCGTGGTGCAGGTTCACCACCTCGCAGCCGCCGCCAGAGATGGTCAGAACCACGGCCTCGGCGTCCGAGGGACAGGGCACCATCAGACCCCAGTCGGGAGCCACTGCGGGGGGGGGGGTCAGGTCAGAGGTCAGAGACAGGGCACCATCAGACCCCAGTCAGGAGCCACTGCGGCGAGAGGGGGGTCATACTGAGGTCAGGGGCAGGGAACCCTCAGACCCCAGTCGGGAGCCACTGGGGGGATAGGTTACAGTCAGAGGTCAGGGACAGGGCACCATCAGACCCCAGTCGGGAGCCACTGGGGGGATAGGTTACAGTCAGAGGTCAGGGACAGGGCACCATCAGATCCCAGTCAGGAGCCACTGGGGGGAGGGATAGAGGTCACATACAGAGGTCACACAGTGGTCAGAAACAAGACGCCGGCATTAGACCCCAGTCGAGAGCCACTACAAGGAAGACATATAGGTCACATACAAAGGTCAGGGGCGGGGCACCATCAGAACCCGGTCGGGAGCCACTGGGGAGGGACAGAGGTCACATACAGAGGTCACATACAGAGGTCACATACAGAGGTCAGGGTCCGGGCGCCATCAGAACCCGGTCGGGAGCCACTGATGACTGAGAGGAGAGATAGAGGTCAGGGGACACAGCTCAGGGACAGGGCAACACAAGACACCAGTCAGAGGGGTGTTCACGAGCACCGCACACTGCTGCGTGCGGTGTGTGCGGTGCGTTCAGCAGGCGTGGGGGTAGGGGATGGGTAGGCGGCTCTGACGTCACGGCTGCGTGCGGTGGACGGTCCGCTGTGGCCAGTCCCGGCCGGCCACAGCGGTCGCTGTGTGCGGCAGTGGCGCGGGAACTTCTTCCAGACTGGGGGGCTGAACCATAATAGAAATCAACCTAGGGTACCCCCAAATCTAGTTTTCTCACCGGTTTTAGGCCACTTATTTTTCAGACCTTGGCCTTTCCAACAACAACAAAAAAAAGAAAATATTTTCAAAAAGTGAGGTATTCCGTCTCAGCTGAGTGAACAAACTACCGTTTTGGCAACCTGGAGTAAAGGTTTTAATCTGCCAAATGAGTTGCCGAGCCAGTGAAATAGATGGATTTTTCACTTACATGCTTTCTTCCTTTGTGACCCACAACCCCTAATTTGGGGAGGACAAGCTGCCCGACGGTTCCTGGCCTCATGAAACGTTGTGGGGCACCGCCCCCACGGCCGCAGAGTTGTGGGGGCAAGCTTCCCCCACTGCCCCCTCCCCCGGTTCCCACGCCTATGTATGAATCTATGAAATTATGTTGGTAGATTTCCGATTTCGATTCCTCCAGCTGGGAGGGCTCAAATACATTACGAGCCCCCCCAGCCGAAAAGCTGGGGGGCTCAGCCCCCCCCCCCTAGCCCCCCCGGTTCCCGCGCCACTGGTGTGCGGTGACGGACGCAGTGGGCGGAGCTTGGAGGCTGTGTGCGGTCCGACCGCACACAGGGCCCGTGAACAGCCCTCTGGAGTCGCTGGCGATGGAGTGGAAAGGTGGGGACACTATCAGCCACTATCAGCGCCACTGAAGAGGGTGTTGATGAAGAGGGTGTATGTAACGCACGAGGAGACAGAAGCTTGCCCTAACCACCGACCAGTCCCCGGCGCCAGGCCGCCCTCCCGCGACTGACCGCAGAGTGGCGAGTCTCTCCAGTCGACCACCAGGAGGCGCTGGCAGCGGGAGAGCGCGTGTCGCGCCGCGGCCGGTCCGTCCGGCTCTATACAGGCGCAGAAACCGGCCACGGCCCGGTCCTCCAGCACGGCGTCAATGGCCTGAGGGTGAGCGGCACGGGGGCTGGTTATCAGAGGTCCTGAGGGTGGGAGTGATACACAGGGCGGAGGGAAGGGGAGAGAGCGGCTGAGGTAAGCCGAGGGGTGGGCAGAAAGCAATTTTAAACAGGGCTGAGAAGCACGACAGTCACACCAACTCCTCAACTGATTCCAAGTTTTTATCATAAATCATAAACAAATCATAAATATTTCTATAAAATAAATCAGTAACGTTTGAACGTTCAGGTCTGTCCGAGTCCATCTGTTCCCTCCGTCTGACCTCTGTGATTCCGTCCTCCTGACATGCGTCTGCTCCGCCGCCCACCTCCAGGCAGCCCTGCATCAGCGCGGCCACAGACTCGGAGCGAATCACCCTGTAGAGCAGGGGAGGGTTAGATGGGATATTGTACTGTCCCTCCCCTCCAGACAGCCCTGCATCAGCGCCGCCACAGACTGAACGAATCACCCTGTACCTGTAGTACGGTACGGTACAGGGTAGGCGTCAGCGGAGTGTCGTACAGATAGGGGAAATATACACGACTTAGCCCACCAACATCTACACAATTAATTGTATACGTATTCAAAGCAAACATTCAAGATGAACTCAATTATGTTTACTAATGCACACTGTACAAACGTGGCAATTCAAAGCACGGTGACCTAAAAGGGCGTCGCGCTGTACCACTCACCCGTTCATGGGGTTGGGATGGTGGTGGTGTGTTTTGGCCACCACCAGACGACACGGGGCCACAGTAAGATCGGTGTCTGCGGAACAGAGCAACTGTCACTGTCGGGCATTGAGACACTAGCAGATGACATGGCACAACAGACAGGTCTGTATCTGAGGAGCGGAACAAAAATCAGGAGAGCAGCAGAGACGCGGCACACATCGCCTAATGGCTATCGAGCTTTTATATTATCCGAAACGTCAGCTGAGCTCATGCCTACACTGTTCACCTAAGTTCACGGAAGAATGCTGCAACCTTTCAAAAATTTCTCTTCAATGAACGTTAACCCAGTTCCCAATTGCAGCTTTGACACCATACAAAACTACGGGAGAAGGCTTGATATCTTTTTGAAGAACAGCCGAAAACATATTCTAAATGGACTTCAAAAGGTATCTTCACTTTACTCAGGGGGTACCGACAGCTACGACCCAGGGCGCGAATGAGGCACACATACCCAGCCACTAGTCAGTAGCCACTGACACCCCTCCCTGTCTCCCTCACGCACCCTCTCTGAGCTGGTCGAGCTCCCGTCGGTAGCGCTCCTTCTCCTCCTCGCTCTGTACGGGACACGCGCCGATCGTGGGGTAGGTGGCGTCGGCGGGCGGCGGGTCGCCGCGGTACTCCACCACTGGGATGTGCTGGTCGGGGGCCGCCGCCGCGCCGCCCCCGCCGCCGCCCCCGCCCGGGGCCGGGTGGTACGTGTCGTACAGCGTCAGGAAGCCCCAGCTGCGCCGCTGGGAAGACACCACGTTCAGAATGGTCTCCTCCACACTGAAATGTGGATACAGAATGAGAGATTAGACAAGACAGACACAACGGAGGGGGCTTCTCGCCAATACATTATTTAGACGAGTCAAAACATGACATCGGAAAAACTGACACATCATGCGACGGTGGTTGTTAACAAGTCGTATGGATAAGCCTTCGACTTTTTTTCCCTCGCATCATCCCAGGTGTTGCCCTATATTTTTTTTATTCAGGCCTCCCTCCAACGGGCTCATATATTCCCATTTACAGGAGGGCTCCTCCTCCCCCCGGCCACCTCCCCCCCCCCCTTACACACCTTACACAAGCCGACCACCAATTCCAAGTAAATGGGTCAGCATTTCCCTCAGCCCTAGCCGCTTGATACAATCCATCACATCTCTCACACCAGCGTTTCTCAGCTGATCGACTGCCTCTCAATGTTCCACCTATCGAACGGACATACAGCGGTTCCCAGTCTGACCTGTCGCAGGGCGGCAGCAGGGCCGGCAGCGGCGGCGGCGGGTCGCCCAGCAGCGCGCGCAGGGTGAGCGCGGCCGACTCGGCCAGCGAAGACAGGCAGTAGCCGCCCTCCAGAACGACGGCCAGCCGGCCCGACGCCAGGCTCATCAGAGAGTGAGTCAGGTGCGCGAAACACGCCGGCGATACCCGCATCTCACCCTGGGGGTACCGAACGGGAGGGGAACGGTTGGAAGTCAACAGGGCGGTGGAAGAGATACAAGCGGTAGTACAGAGCCCAAAGTGATGCATTAATGTCAGGTAATGAATACAAAAGCTCTCATATATAAGTAGAAAACTTGATGGATAGACGCAAAAGCGGCGAATCAGATATTAACCAAATTGAAGGTCAGCAGTTCAAGCGTCCATCGGAGAGTTCTTCCCGGGTTAATCATTTAAATTGGTAGTAATTGTATGCAGTGTAAGCAAAACGTCAACGATCCCGTCATCAGCGCCACAAAAAGTCAGCTAGTTTTTTTTTCATAGCCTCACCTGGGGACATCCGAGCGCAGCATCGTACCCGGCCGAGACCAGCACGACATCCGGCGCAAACTGAAACACGACGGGGTAGACAGCGGTTCAGACTCTGTCATCATGTGCCAACTGCAGAGCAAAGGCTACAATCACATAACACACATACCTATACAGGCTCTATCCCCTTTCTCCACCCTTCCCCTCCCCTCCTCACCTCATAAGCGGCGGGCAGCAGCAGCCGGTGCCATATCGCCAGATAGTCTTGGTCCTCCATGCCGGTACCGTTGAGGGGCACGTTCCAGTTGAGTCCCAGGCCGGGCCCGTCGCCCACGCAGTCGTACTCGCCCTCGCGCAGGCCGGGCCAGAACTCACCGTGCTCGTATCGGTGCACGGAAAAGTACATCACCCTGGCAGAGATATGGAGGGTGGCGCGAGAAGAGGCGATGTCAGTCTTAGCTGTTGGTACACGCACATCTAGTCGATTGATGTGCGTCTAGTCGACATCTAGTCGATTGATGTTTATAGTCCCTACCTCCAATGTTCGGCTTGTATAACAACGTAGTTATAAGGGTTATAAATTTCTCCAAATCATTACAGAAGAGTGTGACTGCAGAGCTCCGCAGGCAAAATACTTTTTTACAACCGATTATAATAATTCGCTCCCCCAAAAAGCCACCGTCAGCCCCGACCGACCTGTCGTCGTCATAGAAGGCACGCTGGGTGCCCTGGCCGTGGTGGACGTCCCAGTCCACAATGAGCACCTTGAGCCGACGCTGGGCGGCGCGCAGTGCTGCCAGCGCCACGTTGTTGAAGTAGCAGTAGCCGTTGAACTCTGAGGGCCCGGCGTGGTGTCCCGGCGGCCTGAGAACCAGCGGAGGGTGGGGTGGGTTAGACATTAGACAGCATGGGGATTGGAGATCGGGAGGGCAGTAGAGCTGGGGATGGGCGAGGGTATCGTAGGGAGATGATAAATCCAGTTATCTGTTGATTTGGGACATACTACGCATCTTGTGTGGCAGGAGTCTGGCAAGGACATGCTCCGAAAAGACACAATTATGCATAAGCAAAATGATTAGTATACCGTTGTCTATCGTCTAGAACCAACAAACACCTCTCCAACTCACCGGAACTCCATCCCCACCTTTTTACCGAATCAGCCATATCCATACCAAAATCCCGGCGACTCGGCTTCCTACTAATCCCAGATTTAGCCCAATGCCGTGTCCGACCATAGACCCACCCCCTCTCATCAACGTCAGTCTCGCGATCACATCAGAAAAAAATCCCCGCACCGTGCTGTGTCCCGCCCATGATCCTGTGCTCGGCCCAGTGCTATCCCATCCCTAGGTTAAAGCTTCCCGTTCCTCCTCCTCACCTGATAATCGCCATTCCGTTTCTGACTGTGCCGTCAATGACGGCATCCACCAGACTCAGTGTGGAGCCGGCAGACAGCAGCGCAGCCTTGTACGTGGACTGGGGTGCGGCGACGGGGCACACGCGGGGGAGGGCGGGGGGTTAGTTAGCCGATAGGGCGGGGGAGAATGACGAGGGACACTGCTAAAGGCAGAAACACTGCACTCTAAACGACACTCTGCATGTCTCACACCTGCTCTAAGTACTAAGTAGACACCGTCCAGCGTTCCAATGCACTCACCGGGTGAAAAAAGACGGTGTCGTATTTGGACGAGAGCTGCTGCAGCGCCTCGACATCGCGACAGCCACTGGTTCCGGCGGCCGTCGACAGATGGCTCTGCGTGTGAAACATGAGCAGCTCGGCCTCTGTGGCCGGCCGGCACGGCAGGCGCTCACAGCGCTCCATCAGACCGAGCTCCCGACATCTGAGGTCGGTAAATGGTCAGGTCAGGGTCATCCCACGGCGCATGACCTGCTGCGACTAACACGTTACATGGCTACACGCTACGTTACATTTCACGACACCTGACATCGAGATATAGCACAGATCAGCGGCCCAGTCGATTAAATCTAAAATATAAGACATACTGATAGATATGTAATATAGTAATGCATGTACAAGCTCACAATGAAGTGTGACCAAAATACGCATAAACCTGAAACCTCAATACAAAGTAATAGTACAGTGATCCTGTACAAAGCCCACACTCCCCGATATCCATTCCTCACCTTTCCAGGACAGATCGGAGCCGCTCGGGACACTCCTCGAACTCGGGGTCCCAGAGACAGCGGTGCTGCAGCATCAGCTCCTCATCGTAGAGCAGGCCCGTGGCGACAGAGCGCACCGCCGGGAACAGGTCATCCATGGCGGCCGCCCTCACTAACTGGACTGGATGAGTAGACTGACAGCTAGCGACCTTCCAGATAGTGAGAAAAACATGTCATAACAATGTCATAACAACATCCAGTCGGCATGTCGTGCTAAGTCGGGGTAGATTTCATGTCCTTGGGATAGAAAGAGGTTAGAATGGATGGTGGATACTGGATACAGTACAGGGTACTGATTGAATGAACCCAGGGATTCTGGTATCGGTGGTAAAAAATGGATTATGAATCGGGTAAGGAGAAGAAAGGTGGGAAGAGGTTGATCGTCAAAACATACCATCTCTTTAACACCACATTATATGTACATAAGGTATTCTCTATCATTGAATACTTACAACGCTGCGAATGATCCCAATGATGACTACACGCTATCATTTATAGCAGTCCACTCGACACAGCCGCACGCACCACCACCGGCAAACCACAACAGTACCACTCAGCCAGCGCTTTTATGCGGGCTACGCAAGCGCAAGTCCGCGTCTGCGACCGATTCCCTGAAAATCGAGATCATTCTCGCCGCTCACTCCAGCAATAATAAACAAACCCGGCAATAATAAACACGAGATGGGGTCAGAGTCCATACTAATCCCCACTGACCAGGGTGAAGCGGCCAGATTTGGAGTCCGGAAAATTTCCGGCGAAAAAAAGCGACTCAAAAGTTATCAATTCAATATATTGAGGTATGGGGAGACTAGACACCTTACCTACCCTATCGCCTATGCCCCTATGCCCTATTTGTGTTTTACCTAACATCATTGGTTTTTCAGGTTTAAGATATGTAGTTCAAACGCCAATGAGCCAATGTAGATTTAAACCAATTTGTTTAAACATACTGTTTCACGGTTCCCAGGATTTATGATGACATTCTTCAGCACGCCTGTAGGGCCTTTGATGGTGAACTGTTCTTGCGTGTGGCACGGCACATCGGGTATGTGGAATGTGGATAGCTTATGCTTCCTGGAATTGGTCTGTAGACATTGGACGAGGCATGTTTCTGGTCTCAGTAACCTAGACTATCAGATCCAGATGTCAACTAATCAGATTTCGACCTATGAGTCAGACCCCGTTTCAGAGCAGTAGGTACTCCAACCACCACAGACTCCTATGACCACAAGCTGACAGGGTATGCGGACTGCGGTGCTGGAAACTCTTCTACAGTAAATCAAACCATCCAATATGTTTGTGCTTCAGCAGCCTTCTCTGGAACTCAAAGCCACCAGTAAAAGTTACCTCATATCCAGGGCACAACAGACATACAAGGTAGATCCTTTAATGTCCATTATATCTACTAATTACAATCATATGACCATCCTCATAGGATGAGGATCCCTGGGATCCACATTCTGGAGTCTAAGATGATCAAAAAGAGTCCTTACTTATGCAAAGGAAATTTACACTACCTAGGGGTACATACTTTAAGAATTAAACTTGAAATGCAGAGCACAATAAAAGCAAAAACTTGATAATCTTTGTAATGCAGGTAAATTTTGCACATTGGCATGTGCATCGTAACCCAATGCGCATAGCATCCTGGATCCTTGATATCACGCTTCTGAAACTGCAAATGTTATTCTTCATGGACCACAAGGCACGAGCATGTCAAAACACATCTACATCACCAACACATTTTACGTCATGCATAAAACTTCCACCAAAAGCATCAATCAAGGTGTAAGAAAGCAAATGCCTCTTTTCTCTATCTTGTCTGCTTCAGCTTGGTTCATAATGAAAAAAGCCTTACTTTGAGGTCCTTAATTTCACTTGACTGAACACCTATAAAAATCTTGAGCCTCTTATCTCAATGCACCAGTGTCAGTGTGGAGCTGAGCCTCGTAGTGCCCGGTGACCGGTGTCAATGCCCATCCCCTATAACCCCATTCCTCCTTCGTTTGACCTCCACGCAGGGGCAGACACGCGCGCGCAAACGCAGCACCGGCCCCGGCCACAACTTTTGCTCCCAAGCATGCAAAGTTCATTACCGTTTCAGTCCCCGTTTCAGTCTGCCCCCCTCGAGTCTGCCCACATGCAAACCATGCACTTTGCCATATTTATGATATTATCCTCTCCTCTGTCCCCTTACCTCTGATTTTTTTTTTTATAAAAACAAAACAAAATTGAAACAGAGACGTCACTCACAAACAACCGAAGAGACAAGAAAGCAGGAATTTTGTTCAAACGCATCGTAAGCGATTGTAAAGCTGGATTGTGTAAGCCAATCACCACTCACCAGGCAATGCATAATGATGAGTCGACTGTCGAGTTATTAACAATTAACATTCATAACAATTAAATGACATAGTGCCTCATTGCAGTGCCATGAGATTCAGTAAATAGCCTCGTTATTCATGAAATTAGTTCATCTGATAAAAAAATGAATGAGTTCGAAATTCGAATCATAATTATATAATGCAAATGTTTCACAAACCGTCACTTGCGGATGGAGCTATTTACGAACATTATTAGAACATGGAATGATCTTTGTAACGAATCCATGACAGATGTAAAATGACGATAATAACTCAAGTTTATTGTACAAGACAAAGCTTTCGATACATAAAGTATCTTGATCACTGTCAATGAGATGTAGAATATTTGATCAATGCATAATGAGTCATCAATCAATGAGTCATCAATCAATGCATAATGAGTTTGATCATCAAATATTCTACATCTCATTGACAGTGATCAAGATACTTTATGTATCGAAAGCTTTGTCTTGTACAATAAACTTGAGTTATTATCGTCATTTTACATGGAATGATCTTGTCGACATTATTGACGCTAATGCTACAAAACAATGGCATGCACCGGGGGAGAGAGAGAGAGAGAGAGAGAGAGAGAGAGAGAGAGAGAGAGAGAGAGAGAGAGAGAGAGAGAGAGAGAGAGAGAGAGAGAGAGAGAGAGAGAGAGAGAGAGAGAGAGAGAGAGAGAGAGAGAGAGAGAGAGAGAGAGAGAGAGAGAGAGAGAGAGAGAGAGAGAGAGAGAGAGAGAGAGAGAGAGAGAGAGAGAGAGAGAGAGAGAGAGAGAGAGAGAGAGAGAGAGAGAGAGAGAGAGAGAGAGAGAGAGAGAGAGAGAGAGAGAGAGAGAGAGAGAGAGACCGCTGAACTTCGATGTGCAACGAGTAGTTTGATGCATGCCAGGGGCAGGCTCGGCGAGAAAGGGGAGACTAATTGTCTGATCTACCGGATGGTGGATGATTGCGCGAAAAGAGGAACAGAGTCGCGGGCCGCGGGTACGTGGCTATGGGAATACAGGCAATTACATAGATATGCAGACATGTATTTCAAACTTCAACTTTCGACTCAGACGATAAAATGTTGACAGCCTAGGCAGAAATACTGATATATGGCAGCGCACTTACTTCAATATGGTAGCTCCGGCCTGCGACGAAATATGCGTCACCTTCGCTGCCCAACGTCTGTGTGTGTGTGTGTGTGTTGCACCAATGAGGTGTGTTGTGTTGGTTGTGTTATGTGTGCTGTGCGGCGCGGATTTGTGGGGCTGGGTTTCTAGCGTTTCCAGCAAGGCTATATAAACCGTTTCCAGTGACTGAAGTTGGTTTCCAGTGAGTGAGTGTTGTTTTCCGTGAAAATAGAATTTAATTTGCTAGCTGAGGAACTGTTTGTTTGTATTCTTTATGTCAAACTGCACATAATAGTATAAGAATTTCCTTCTTTCAGGTTTTTCTAAACATGAAAAATTCTGATTTCAGTTGGGGAAACTAAGAGGCGAAAATCAAAAAATTGATTGGTCAATAAATGGACTTTTGATGACCATATATGGGCATAAATGCAGCCCCCGCTACAAAGGGTGAATAACGGTATAACAAGCAGGTACTTGCGGTATCACGTCCACTTATCGGAGAGAAAAAGCTTCCATTTTCCACTAGGAATTAGTGTGATTTGATTAAATTCGGCGAATGGCGAATGGACTAGAAAATGGCGATAGGGAAATGGCTTTTCTGCAGGTTCTGGGCGTTTGTTTTGTTTTATGTTTTAATGTTTAGAGTGGCATTACTCAGATTACTGTGTGAATAGTGAACATTTTCTTAGAAAATCTCTTGAATGATGTATTGTTTTGTAATTTTTTTCATTTGATTCAGGAGCACTTTAATCAGAAAATGTAATTTTTATGTGTAATACTTTTTTAAATAAATTAAGCTCGAATGTTTGAATGGACGGATTGACAGAGCCAGAGGCGGAGCCCACGCTAAGCAGAGCTTGTTGCGTAGACTTTGACCCGACCCCTACCGTCCGATCGCGCAAACGGGTATCGGGACTGGGAGAATTTAGATGCCAAAGTTTAACATGCCCTTCAAACCCGAACACGGCCTGCCCCACTCAACTGACTTCAACTGGCTGCGGCTGCTCCCACCAACCGCAGACCATCCCCGTCAGGAGTCTCTCAAACATCGACCGCCGGAGCGTCTCTAACCCGGGCTCTCACTCCACTACCGGGAGTCCAATGCTCTACCAACTGGGCTACGGGACAAGCTACTATTTTGCTATTTGCTTTTTATTTTTCTATTTTGTAAATGCTTTTTTAACTCCCGCAAGTGTTCACTCACATGACATGACATCAGCCGGTCTGCCTGTAGTTTCTTGTGACACCACCTGGCATTTATCAAATGCATACCTGCTGTGCAAGAACATTATTTTCAAAGAAATTGATAAGCAGGAGTTACAGTGGGGCTGGTCAGGGAATAATTGACCTTTTATGTGAAATCTGCAATTGAAGTATTCATGATGTTTGTCATATCAAAAGTGTACATTATGTATGTATTTAGTATTATGTATGTATGTATGTACATTATGGGGTGAAAATTATAGCCAGCTCTTGCTCAGTGTAGGCTGGTGTGGATTGCCATTCTGGTTGGTGCAGGCTGGTGCAGATTAATCACCCTAGCTGGTGGTGCACTGTTTGTTGATTCTGTTGCCATGCTTTGCAGTCTGACCTTTGACCTCTGACCCCACCATAGACTTCTGTATACAGTATACTGAGGTCCCCCTCTGACTGCTGTGTTCTTTTCTGACAGGCAGGTGTAAGTAGTTGTAACCTTCATCTAAACACATCTGTCAGTCACAATGACCCAGGACCAGGTGCCAGATGAGATCAAGGTCAAAACTGCCTTCAAAGGGTGAGTGGCCGAGCTGAACCATGGAGTACCAGTCTGCTGCTGGGTTGTGTGGCTGGCACATCTGAGTTCTGACAGTCATGAGGAATTTAGTGGGCTGTCTGACATTGCTCACTCTGACACCTAACTATGTGAATATCTGCCCTGAGTGATGCAGTAGTAAGCAGCTCTCTAGTCTCTCTTGACCATGTTTTGTACCATTTTGTTGAGAAGGGTAGGTATGTGTCTTTTTCAATTATTACGAGTATGTCCATGAAAACTAACTCATTTTTGTGCATGGATCTTCTATTACATGTCTGTCTTCTGCTTTGTATGTTGAACGTTTGTTGGTGAACGAAATTAAGAACAGTGAACCATTGCTCTCTTGGTGTCAAACATCTTGAACTAGAACCAAGCTCTGTTCTTTTCTCTTGTTTTCACACTGTAGTCGGCTCTCGTCAAAAGCAACCGACACTCACCAGTCACCACCGACCTCCGTTTTTATATTCCTCCGGCTGACCTCCTCTTCTTCTACAGCGAGTTCTACATCACCTACATCAGCCCCGACATGAAGTTCGAGGCGCTGGTGGGCGAGATTAAGGACACGTGCCGGTTCCCGCCCGACGCACGGTTCACCGTCAAATGGGTCGACGAGGAAGGTGAGAGAAGCGAGGGAGGTGGGAGAAGCGAGAGAGGTGAGAGAAGCGAGGGAGGTGAGAGAAGCGAGGCAGGTGAGAGACATGCTCCAGGAGGATAGAGGGAGGCCTGAGGGCTGGAGATAGTGTGTCTCTTTTTCAGTGGGAGATGTGGGTTTTCCGTCTCAGCGGCCGGGAAGAAGAATCGCTTCGGAGACGAAATGCGTGAAGGGTTGGTTTGTGAAAGGGAGGGTTGTGTGTGTTGTCTGAGCTTTTGGGTGGGCGATACAGCTAGGTAAGGTAGGCTATCAAGCGCCCTGAAGGGTGGGTTGACCTGAGGAAGGTTAAAGAGTTGCTCCGGGGATAAGGATGCTGGTTATCGTTTTAAGTAAAGGTAGCTCGCGGCAGTCCCCCCGTAAAGACGTTGTAGCTATCGGGCGAACGATGGATAACAAGCGACATCTATATCAGATTACCTTATCATCGCTTTTGGGCTGACTCACCACAAGGACGGTGAAACAGCTTGGTTTTACGTATACGTGTGCGCGGGAAGGGACGAATGAGTCACCTTTTTAATGCACACTAAGCTTTCCTGTTGACGTATTGTCACCGCTTCAAATCTCTATTTCCGTGGTCGTTTGCATGTCGTAGTCTGTAAGGACTCTTTTGACGTCAGACAGTGCCACACCACTATTCTGACCTGACGACGCTACCATGCTAACGTCACCCATGGCCGCCTCGGCAGGGGACCCGTGCACATTGTCCACCCAGGAGGAGCTCCAGGAGGCCATCCGACTGTACGAGGTCAACAAGGACTCGGAGATCACCATTCACGGTGAGTGCCGCTCGGCGGCTGACCGTCTGAGACTGGTGGCATGGCTGGTGGAGGGGTGCTCGGCCCGGGGCTGGGCAACCAGACCGGTCCCGATCACACCGCTGCCGGCCGCAGTAGGTGCACGGACAGCGACACTGCCCTTTTTTTCCAACAGGAATATTGGTGGTTGTTGAATTACTGCACCGAGGAAAGATATTTCTGGAATTGCATGCGTGCCTCCGGATTGACATACCTACTAGTAACAGTCGTACAGCTCTGACGTGGCTTCTTATTTGATTTCTTGTATATGATAGTCCAGATATACTTGGAGAAACTGGACAGCCGGCATTGCCTGAATCTAAGCTGCAGAGAGCAGCTTTTACCAGAGAGCAAACCTCACTTCCATGTCGTATATTATACTAGCAGCGGCCGTTGAATTGAAACGGCCGCGCCATTGTCCTTCGCTCCCGAATTCAGGAGGTTCATTTGTTTGTGAAATAAAGCCGCCGGTTTAGCGACTGCGCGACTCGCTTATTAGCCCACCACGTGACATTGTGAGGCCGTTATGACCGGCATTGACTTGCCCCGAGCCTTTAGAATGGCGCGGCACAATTCTGCCGTAGTTAAATTTGAGTGTTGCGCTATTCGGCTATTTAATAGCGCTCGCTCAGAAAAGGCAGTCAGACGGTGGGCCGGCGCTGGGCGAAATTGCGGCAGCCGTCTGCTGGAGGGCTATTTCCGCCGCGGGCCGGCCACAGGTCGGGTGTCGCGCGCTGGGGGGGTGGGGGGGGGGTGCTGGTGTGGTCACAAACACCTCGGCACTGGGCTGTGAGCGACTCCGCCTGTGCCACTCGCTGTGAACGCCCATCAGCCATCCGGGATTGTCAGGGCAGAATATTCTCCCCCGAAGTGGACTGTAAACAATAAACATGTTTGAATGCGACGAGCTCTGAAATGTGTGCGGATGTTCCGCTTGTAGTCAATGTAGCAGGGTTGCAGCGTTGCAGGGCTTTACGCTAATCAGAGCTCAACACGCTGTGCTTTGCAGTAATGGTAGCGTAACCACGTCCCTGGAGTACGATTGCCCTCAGGTATTTATATGGAAATGGCTCCGTGTATTACCTATGGTCTGGAACGCCATATTTTTTACCCATATGCTACTCAGCTGACACAAGCACGTCTTTATGGCGCTTAGCTTCATGCATACGCCTACAGCCCACATCCCCAGTTGCAAACGACCAATCGCGCCGCAGGTGTAGGTGTTGGGTCCGTATAAGTTTCCTACCAGGTAACCATAGCGCGGCCTGGCACCGACCGCCACCACAATCAAACCTCACCGCCATATCCCGTTTCAAACTTCATCACGAAGCCCTCTTCTTGCGGCCGGCCGGCTGAAAATAGCGTCACTTTATTCACATTTAAGTCGTCGGGAGCCGTAAAGTTAATTGGCTGCTGTGATTTACTCGGCATAGTTAGCCGAGGGCGGCCCAAGTGTCCCTGGAATGGGTGCGCTGCGTGTGGGCTCGGCGGAGACGGGACTCGGCGGCTCATTAGAGGCGACAGAGACGGCGGTGGCACGACGACGAGTAGGGGTAACGCTGATCGTCTACTTGTCCTGCCGAGTTACTGCAGTCTAATTTATCGACCGGTCCGGGTGATAATGCAGCTGTTAAGCTTGGACTTGTGATTCGCTCTCGAGCGCACCAGTTTTGTGCAGTTATCTTTAAAATAGATCGGTGCTTGCTACTTCATAATTTTTTTAGCAACTGGGCCGGGATGAATCATGAATATTGCATCGTAGAACAGTGGTGGCGAGGGTATGATCGCTTCATCGAAAACCAGCACCGGACCCAGCTTTGAGCACAGCTTGCCCGTTTCTAACTCGGTCGGTCGCGCCGTATCGTATCACAGGCCTCGGTTACGCCTCCTGTCGGCCGGGGGGGGGGGGGGGGGTGGCGGTACGTGACCGTCACCGTTTGCCCTGCGGCGACAGGCGAGGTGTCGACACTGCCACCCGCGCCGGACGCTGCGGGGTGCGAGCACACGCACACAGCGCGAGTGCTTGAGTGGGTGGGTGAGTGATGGAGTAGTGGGTGATTGGTGAGACGTGGTGATGGAGCCAGTGATCGAGGTGTGATGATTAGAGGTGGTCATAAAAGGGCTGTGGTGTGTGGGTGATGAGGAATTCGTAACTGAAGAAGGATCATACGTAGGCATAAAAATAAGAAGAAAATGGTGAACTGCCCGGCAGCCGTGTAGTACCAATTTTAGTGAAAAGTTGTGGTTAGTTGGTGCCTGAATGTGATACAAGTTGACCGACGGTATTGCTATCCAAGCTGCTATTACCGAACTTTTCAAAGCTGCGTCTACCGTCAATTGGTGATACCTTTTCAATCTGACGCCGGATCTAAAAAATACAGCGCCTTCTCCTGCTCTAGTCACATCTAGACGTCCAATCCGCCCGTATGGAGTCGGACAGCTCAGCGGTCGGGACGTACCGCCCGTACGGACCCGGGGCCGTTCCCAGACTGGCCGGCTGGATCCAGTTCCAGCTGAGAACCCATGCAGTGCTGAGACCCTACACAATCTGTGAGTACTGCGGAACACAATTTCGCCATAATGAAGGGCCTTCCAATGAGCCAACTGGCCGGTCTGCTATGTTACGTTATTTTATTGGGATGGGTGACAGTCTGGATATTTCTCCTCTCTCGTCGCATTGCGCCTATGTGATGTTCATTTTCGGCGTTAGCAGCTGTTCCAGACCACCGCTTATATCGGCGGTGGTCCAGTTCCGCTGATCGTTTGGTCTCGCCAACTGAGCCAGTTCTATCCATCCATGTCCTGACGCCTCCCCGCCTCCCTCCCTCTGCCCCCTCTCTCTCCGTCAGTGAGGCGTGTTTTCAAATGGCGCCGCGCCGGAACCCCACCGCGTTTGTCCGATTGGAATCGATTCGCGATGCGGTCTGTTCTCCTTTGGACTGCACATAATGGGGTCCAAATTCATCTCCAGCGGGCTTCCCGCCGAGCTGGTCTGGGCAATTCTGAGATGGCGTGGGAGATCCGACCTGCTCCACGACTCAGTGGCCGTTAACTTCATATTTGTGGATACGCATTGGAAATTGTTTAAATGTTGATCTTTTTAACTTCAGACTCATGGAGTAGCGCGAATTACCTGCATAGAAATCGTGAAAAGTCGTGTTCAACATTAATGTTTCAAAATGGCAGCATCAAGGAGGCTATTTTCTATTTTGTTGAGCCATCAATGGTCAATCAGTTTCGAATATAACCAGACATTCTCCTGATTTCCTCTTAGGATAATGGCAATTGAAGTGCACAGTTTCGGTCGTCTATGTCGGTTTTGTCGTCTCGCTGGTTGCGAGCTCAGTAAACCTTTCTGACAGTGCGTTTGAACTGCTTATTTCCTCGCTCACGCTCGGTTAGCGCGCTGAAAATTTACGGCGCGGTCATCGGAAAATAATCGTGCAGAAAGGCCGGCCACTATGCGTGCCGTGGCCTGAACACTGGCCCGGACAGGGGGGTAATTTGTGAGCTGCTGATAGGCCCGCCAGCTGGAAATTACAGGCTGGAAAGGAGCGAGAACTGTGGGGGAACGCACAGCTGAAGGTGGCTGAAAAAGCCGGCCGTAGTTCTCGGATACGGAGCGCCGAATGGGTCGGTGGTCCCAACCAATATGTGCGGGGTGGAACTGACTAAAATGTGCGGTAGGGACCAGTTGTCAGTGGTCGACAGAGCCTGATATTTGGCGAGATGTGGGCGCCTGACTGAAAGTCGTGCTTAGATGCTACTTTTGAAGCTGTTTGGAACTTAATGTCATCGTATTTTTATCAGTGATATCGCTAGTTGTTAAGCATTTAGTACATACGCTTGATATACTAACCACATTTAATCTGGTAAGCTTTATAGAAGTTTTCCTGCCTATGTCCATTGCTTGTGTGATTATCAAAAAAAAAAAAAAAAAAAATTAGTGTTCAAACCACTCGGCAGAAATGATTGATACCATATATTCTATATTGCATGTTTTTTTAGACTGCTCGTTTTGCAATTTGATCTGACGGCCGCTGCTATAAATTCGCAGTCCAATGATCCATTTCTTCAACTCGAACCATGTATCATGGATCTCTACTGTGAGATCAGTGCCCAACATTCGCCTTGACTTCACAATGATTTGCCAGCGCATTTTTAATTTCAGATCTTAAGCTAGAATGTTAAATTAGGTCCGATGTGCAAATCCATGCTTTCAGAGCCTGAATTTCAAATGCGGTGAGATATGCAGATGCGCTTTAATCTGCATTTCCCGCTTGCAGACCCTGCATGAGCCGATGCATTTCACCTTCAGAAATGACTTGGCTCTACTGCGCCTAATTCTGCGGAAAGTTGGTGCCGTTTTGCCGAACGAATTCTGCTCGTCCCGCGGCGCGCACACGCGCTGCGGCTCCCGGGCCGCGAGCGGCGCAGATCCTCCGCCGCGCCGCGCCCAGCAGGTCCTAACTGAACAGATTAGCTAATTTGCATCTTAATGCGATCGACTCCGCGTCGGTGTGTCTGACGACTCGCGTCGGTCCAGAGCTGGCTCGGCCTGCCGTGCTGCCGGAATACCACCCACAGCACCGGATACCGGTCCATGGAGTAGAAACGCGTCTCGTCTACCCTAGTCAGCCGTTCCGAATCGGGTTGATCAGGGCATAAATTAATCAGTCGGTCGTAAAATGACAAACACAGCGGCCGGCAGCGGAATATTGCCGCAATCGGACCGGCTGGAATTGCTACCTGCACCGGTGCCCGGGGTTTAATTGAGTCCCGAGTCCCCGTGCGCGCTGCGCCCTAGCTTTGGAGGCTATTTTGGGCCGGAGATATCCTCTGGCCGTGGTTCTCTTTGGAACACCCCAGATATAGCTCCATGATTTTGCTGAAGATAGAAATCTCGCCGGGATTTCAGTTGAAGCAGCGCTCGTGTGCGGCTGGACCATGAAGCGCGCTGGTGTGGCCTGGGTTTGCGGTGT